AGGATCATCTTCTTACTGGGCCCTGCAGACCCCACAAGGAAATTCTTATATCTGGTAAATTCAAAGTACTAGGAGATAGGTTAACATTAAGAAATAAACAGCAATTTTTCTGTATATCAGTGATGAACCTGATGAGAAAGAAAACAGGAAAATTTACAATAGCCCAAATAAAAGAAATTCTAACAAATCTAACCAAGCAATGAAAGCTATAAATACTGAAGAAAGCCACTGGAAAAGACACTAGAAGATAAAAGACCTTTCATGTTCGTGGATCAACACATTAATAATATTTTGAAGATAGTTGTCTTACTAAAAGTGATCTAAAAACTCAGTGTAATTCCTATCAAGATTCTATTAATGTTTTGCACAGAACTAGGGAAAATAATCCTAAAATTCTTTTAGAAGCACAGAAAGCCATAAACAAACCTGAAGGAGGCCCTGAACAAAAAGGAACAGTGTTGGAGGCATCCCAATCCTCAGTTCAAATTTTACTAGAGCCATCTTAACAAAACCATACTGGCATTGGCAAAAAAATAAAATAAAATAAAATAAAAACAAGGCTAATAGAATAGAGGATCAGAAATAAATCCACAGAGCTATAGCCATTCCACCTGATTGTTGGCAAAAATACTAAAAATATTTATTAGGTGAAAGATAGCCTGTTTTTCTTCTTCTGGATTTGGTGTTTCAAGTTTCACATTTAAGTCTTTGATCCATTAGTTTTTGTGCAAGTTGATAGATATGGGTCTAATGTCATTCTACATGTGGACGTCCAGTTTTCCCTGCACCATTTGTTAAAGATGCTTTCTTTTGTCCAGCTTGTGTTTTTTGGCATCTTTGTCAAATATTAAGTGGCAGTAGTGGTACACATACCTTGGCAGTAACCAACAGTTCTTTAATTGGATCGAAGGCCTGTTCAACAAGAGGGAAACATGCTTTGTACTGGAAACAGCCATCTACCCAGAGCTAGTGAAGTTATAGATCTAGGAGAGGAACCTGCAACCACCATTTTACTAAACTAGCATAATCCCTAACTACATCCTAAATATTGGTCCTGTACACACAGATTAAGTGTAGTCCTCACATTCATCAAGGAAACTTCTCTTTGAAACAGATGGAGACCACTACAGAAAACCACAACCAATCAAGTTGTAGGGTTGTAGAGTTCAGTCACAACTGATACATCTTTAAAACAACTCCAGCACCTAAGGCTCAGGAAACATTGTGGAAGAGGGGATGGAAAGATCGTAAGAGCCAGAGAATCAGAGTCTGCTGTGAGATTATGTCTCCTAGTAACGTCAGAAGCTACATCCATCAAATCTCATCAGTGTGATTGCCTAAACACGAGCTGAACAAGAACAATAATAGACAGTCTAAAGTAGACAGGGCAAAACCAAGCCTCAATGCTACACAAAGAACTACAGGTAACTAAGGAATGCTGAGAGTGGGAGAGATGGTCCTCCCTGAGGAAGAGCACCCCAATTGTTTATCTATACCAAAGAGTCAGCCCTGAAAACATAGGTACAAGTAACAGTATACAGATTGAGCAGGTTATATTAGGAATATATGTGAGTACACTTACACATATTTGTATATAACAATTAATGAAAAAAGCTATAAATTTGAAAGAGAACAAGAAGAGGTATGTGGGAAAGATTTGAAGGAGGAAAGGAAAAGGAGAAAAGCTTAAATTATAATCTCAAAAATAAACAGAAAGAAGACAGCCTGGCTCATTGGTGTTGCTAGGAAGACTGTATATGTAATATATAGAAGAGTGAAACTTGATAACCCCTCTCCCAGTCTGCATAAAATCAGCCCAAAGTGGGTGAAAGAATTAGCATGGAGCAGTAATGCTTAAAACTAGCAATAAAAATCTTTAAGATCTGTATAAACTTTGTTCTTTTTGAGACAGTCTCATTGATCAAACTTTCTACGGAGCTGGAGGTGACCCTGAATTTCTAATCCCACTGTCTCCACCTCCTGAATGTTAGAATTGTAGCTGTGTGCCACCGCATTCAGTTTTCTGTGTTACTGGGGATCTAACACAGGGCTTTGCTGCATACTAGGCAACCACTCTACCATTTGACCTATATCTCTAACCTTAAAACTTTTATCAAGTGAAAAATTAATAGCCAGAATGTCTAGTATAAACTGTGGAAACAGTTACAGTTTGTATTTCATAGAAGGTTCTTTGGTATATAAGGAACACCTACAAATGAATGAGTGGGATACAAATAATTTGATGAAATATAATCAGACAAGTTATGTGTACAATGATTCTGAATGAAATGATCAATATTTCTTGGGAGAAAAAAGTTATAATTTTTTATCTACCAGATGGACAGATGGAAATATTTTGATAGTGCTGTTAATTTGAATAGGAACTCCTTTACATTGCTAAGTGGGAGCTAAAATTGGCAAATCCCTAAGGAAGCAATTTGTTATGAATATGTTCCCCTCTACCCCCATACAGGTGTGCATGCTTTTGTGTATATGTTGAGGCCAGAAGTCAACTTTGGGTGTTATTCCTGAGAAACCTTACATTTTACCTCTTATATCTTGCTTGACCTATAACTCCCTGATTAGTTTAAGTTGTTTGACTATTAAGCCCTTGGGATTCTCCTCTCTCTGTCTCCAGTGCTGGGATTCTAAGCATGAACTACCACATTCAGCTTTACTCTGTGGCTTCTGAGTATTGGTCCTCATGCTTGCACTTCAAGTATTGTACCAACTGAGATATATTACTGGGTTTTGTCCCAGTGATTCTGTTTCTACGAATTTATCCTAAAGGTAGACCATCCATATGCAAACATATGTAACAACATAGTCAAGAATATTTCTGGCAACATTGTCTGAAAATATAGCAAGAGTGTAAACGAGGACTATTTAAAGAAACCATAATAGAATTCTATGCATAATTCATGAGTAGAAAGTTTTGTCATTATAACACAGAAGTCATGGAAATTCCAGTATCTCATTTTCCTCAACATATTAATGTTTTATATCAACTACCAGTGATTTCAAGTGTTTTTTTTTTCTGTGATCTCTAGACCTCTGAAGATGATTACATTTTTAACACTGCCTGGGAGTCCCCAACCATACTTAGCTAATATGCACTCTACATGCTGGAAGGTGAAAATAGGATGTCACAGTTTAGATCCCCCAAAATAAGGATCTGTTGTTTGATCCCAATAAAACGGTAGAGTCATGTAGGGAAAGATCAAGCAAGACTGAGAAGGTGGCTTCATGCTTGGCACTCAAAAGGACCTGAGCTTCAGTCCCTAGAAAGGGGTGGTGATAGGTAGATCCCAGGGGCTGTCTGGCCATTCCATCTAGTCAAAACAGCTGATTTGAAGTTTAACAAGAAAGACCCTGTTTCCAAAAATAAGATGCATAGTGGTCAAAGGAGACTCTCAACATGGCTGCCTGCATGCACAGGCAAGCAAACCACACACACGTACACATGCATGCAGTACATGCCCTAAATAAATACCTAAAGACAACAGCAAAAGATAGAAAGGCAGGGTGAGTAGTAAAGGGTAAAACAGCAAACATTCTATGTAGCTTGAGATGATCTTGAGCTTCTAATCCCCATCTCCACCTCCTGAATGCTGGAATTTTTAGATATGAATATAGATATGAAAGTATAGACACTAATCAGGGATGCACTAGTTCTGGGAAACAGTAGAAACAGATACTGCAAAGTTATTCTATGTAGATGAATTTCTAAATGGTCTTATTAAATAAAAAACACAGAGCCAGAAATTGGGGTTAAAGTCTGAGAGAAATCAGAGGAATAGGAAGAGACACCAACCAACTTCACATCACCAACTTGGCAGCTTCTAAGTGCGAGTTTGTAGCTTGAGTTTTCCTGCCTGGCCCACAGTCAGGACAAATCTCTATCACCTGCCAGTCCCACAGCCGCTCAAACCCGACCAAGTAAACACAGAGACTTATATTGGTTACAAACTGTATGGCCGTGGCAGGCTTCTTGCTAACTGTTCTTACAGCTTAAATTAATCCATTTCTATAAGTCTGTACCTTGCCACATGGCTCGTGGCTTACCAGCATCTTCACATGCTGTTTGTCATCGTGGCGGCTGGCAGTGTCTCTCTGACTCAGCCTTCCACTTCCCAGCTTTATTCTCCTCCTTGTCCCGCCTACACTTCCTGCCTAGCCAATGGCCAATCAGTGTTTTAATTATTGACTAATCAGCAACACATTTGACATACAGAACATCCCACAGCACGAGTTACTTCCTGTCTACCCATGTGTATATGCCTTGCTGCTCTGCCATCTGATTTGCTCTCTCTGTCCAGCTATATCACTTCCTCTTCCTGCCCATCTCTGTCACTTCCTGTCTGTCTGTACAGACCTCCAAACCTCCATGGTTAACTAGTGTTGAAACTTAAGGCGTGTGCCACCACACCTGGTTGCTTCTAGTGTGGACTTGAACTCACAGAGATCCAGACAGATTCCTGCCTGCCAAGTGATAGGATTAAAGGTGTGTGCTACCATTGCCTGACTTCTTTGTTTACTTATAATGGCTGTTCCTATTCCTCTGATCTCCAGGCAAGCTTTATTTATTAAAGCACAAATAAAATATCACCACATTTCAGCACAAATAAAATATCACCACATTACCCTTTTTTGTAATAAAAAATAGTTTTAACTAATATAAGAAAAACTATATACAATAAGTACAATAACTATATACAGTATATATGAGCAATAAATAAATCAACAATGTCTAATCTGTTTGCATTTGACAAATTCAGAGAAAATATTCCATTATCGATCCTATTTTAGTGAGTCCAAAATGTACCTAATTCACTTTCTATTCTATCTTGTATTACCAACAGAAAACTATCTTATGATGTCTTTCAAACTTACACACTTAACACCTCTTAGTGAGTTTCTTTTCTGAATTTCTTAACAAGGAAAATTGTAACTATCTAATCTTCAACTCCCTCAAAGACCCGAGAATGAAATAATATTACCTAGTAAAACAGGAAGTACAAACAAGTGGCTTCCAAAAAATGTGAGTTATGACAGAAACAACCAGCTGCCTGGACAGTCACCCCAGGTTTCTCTGCAACACTGGGGCATCGTCTTCGGCCTACAGGCATAGCATATCTAACAGACTCATTTATGAAGCAGGATATACGCAAGGCCTACAGCTCAATTCCACATTCGGTGTGAATATTCCATGTACCAGATAAACTTGAATTCTGCCAGTATCATGTCATGATTCGGGATTTTAAATTCCAGAAATTGCTGGTGTTTTTGGGATTTGGCTGTCCATTCTTCTCGGCTTATAGATAGCTTCATCTCCTTTATTAAATGCCAGTCTACCATTAAGAGGCCAGACTCCGTCAGCCTAGTTACTCCTCCAAGAATAACTGTTCCAGCTACTGTTCCACTGCACACCAGGAGCCATCGGCCCACTGCATGCTCAGCTGCCTTTGAAGGAAGGGGCACTGTACCTTTTCTGGATTGCAAAGCCACTTCAGCGATGGTGCCATATTGTCCTGGCCTCAGAGGATGTCTGTTGCCAAAGCTGCAACCACACTTGTCTTGGATTGGTAGTCCTTTGTTTTGTGTCCTGGTTGTCCATTTTGGACAGCATACTCTTGGCAGTTAATGTGAAGGTACTTTCTTGCCCAGTGGCTAACTTTTGCCACAGTGAAAGTTAATTCCATGTGGAAGTTCTTCAATGCCCTTACCTTCTCTGAAGTAGATTGGTGCTACCAGGAGCAGACATGTCTTATAGTCATAAGAAAAAAAAAAGAAAAAAAACTGTTATTAAAACATCTTAAATGCCATATTCTGTAGATCTCTGAAGGATTTGAAGATGACCTGTCTATCTAAAATATATCTCTGCTTGACCTTGAAGACGTACCTAATATGGCTATAAGTTCAATTGTGATGACTAACTATTAACTTTCATTTCTTTATATTCTAATAGTTGATAATAATAACTTTCAAGGATTAGCAAATTGCATTACATTGTTAAATGACCCATATAGGTATAATACCTTGAGCAAGATTAGAAATATATGTACAGTATTTACTAACAAAATCAATCTCAAATTTATATCAATATACATAATTTGTATATAACATACAAAAATCTAATCCAATGTAAACTATTTAAAACTAGTAGTTGCCTTTTAAAAGTAGATTAAATTACCTTTTTATCTATATCATATCCATGTCCTCTCTTTTTTTTCAGAGTAGATTCAATAGTCTACCTCTTATCTATATCCTTTTTTTTCTTTTTTCTCTTTTTTTTGAACAAGAGCCTTAAATATAATCTCCTTTGTGTAGCCTTTTTCCTGACCATTAACAATAACAACTTGTAACCAACCATCCTAGACAATGACACCACAATTCTATACAGGGATTTGGATGTCTTTGTTCCGATTACCATCAATCATTGGTCGAGAATTTGAGAACTGTAACTACTTTTTGTTTTGTTTTGAAGTTTGCCTCCATTTCCAGCCTAGGGTGTACAAATGAAGAATTATCCAAGAGAAAGTCTTCCAACTCTTCTAACTTCTCAACTCAAGCAGAAAGTGGAGGACAAATGTGTAGGGAAGAAGAGAGGATAAAATTCACTTCTGGGAGCTTCAAGAGAGGATGAAATCTGCTATGACCTGTAAGGCTCAGCTTCAGAACCCAGAGCTCTAGGGGAGGGAAACTATCCCTAAAGTTGTAAGCTCTACTAGTTTTCTCAGCAGTCTGATTTTGCAGAAACTGAGATTTTTTTTAGGTCTATCTTCAAAGAAATATATACATTTATAGTAGATTTCCTGGCGAATAAAAAGAGATGACTTCTTAGTTCATACAGAAATGCCTGTATTATATAGCTGTGAAAAAGGTTTGAACCTCGTCATCTCTGTATGAACTATTAGGAGCCTTGACAAACTAAGCAAACAGAGTGCACCATGGTGCAAAACAGTGCTGAAATATGTAAGCTATAGCTATTCTCCGGAGGTTTGTGTTGTCTTCCACAATGCTGAGTTTGTGTTAAGCCAGGGACTGATTTTCTAGACTCATGTGCATCTGTTGTGTGTGTGTGTGTGTGTGTATGTGTGTGTATGTCTGATAGAGGTCAGAACTTTTTTTGGGGAAAAAGTTCTTTCCTTCAACCCTCTGTGTCCTAGGGGTTAAACTAAGTTCGTCAGGCTTAGTGACAGGCACTTTACCCATAGAAACGTGCATTTACTTCTCTTCTGCATCCAAAATAACATTCGCTTCCTATGAAATACATATATATATATATAAGTGATATGATAGTTTCTGGATAGGTAAATCCTGAAAAGCCACTCATTAATATTAGCTAATTAGAGAAAGCCACAGTGATGCTTCATTCTTACTATATAGGATTTAAAAAAAATAAAACGAAAAAGCATTGAGAGGGTATGGACTAATTAGAGACTTCATATTGGGAATGTAACGTGGTATAGACACTTTGGAAAACAGTTTGGAAGTATGATTTTTTTCTTTTGGTTTTTTGAATCCGGGACTCATATAAGAGGTGAGGTTGGCCTCAAGCTTGCTACATAGCTGAAGCTGACCTTGAAGTTCTGATGATCCTGCATCTACCTCCTAAGTGCTGGGACTACAGGTATGTGCCACCATATCTAGGTATATTATGTATTGTAATCATCTGAGCCCAGGTGTCTGTGAGCACATGTTCACAGAGAAACAGGCCCAGCAGTGTTCTCAACAGCATTTTTCATAGTAGTCAAAAGGGGTGTTTTCCTGGGAGCAAAGCAAGAAACAATCCTAAGTGGATATTGAGATGCTTCTAGACTTTACTGAGGAACTGGCAGAACCAGATATTAGTTCTGGGTAGATTGCGGGTAATGAACAATGTAATGAGAATAGTTGGAATCAGTCTGAAGAGAACCTAGTTTCTGCCAATAATAAGACTTGAAAAGATGAAGTTTTTTTCTGGATTGTGAGTTGACTGGAATTCCTCTTGTAATATGAATGATTGGCCTGTTCCCTATGCTTTTTAAAAGACTTATTACATTTATTTATTTATTTATTTATTTATTTATTTATTTATTTATTTATATACATACTTACTTAGTCGGAGCTGTGGCACATGCCACTGTGTGCATATGGAAATCAGAGGATAACTTGTGGGCATTCTCCCACTCTGAGGTTCCTAGACATTGAACCCAGGTTGTCAGGCTTACCTGACAAACCGTCTTGCTTCTCCTATACCCACTATATTTTTATTGACTCCCCCCCCCCCCACACCTTCCAACAGAAGCCATTTAGCATTGTTTCTAGGCTGGAACAGACTCCTAACCTCTTAAAACGTCTTCAGTAGGCGGGAGAGAGGCAGTTCACTAGAGTACTTGACTTGTATGTGTGAAGCCTTAGTTCATTTCTCATCAACACACACACACACACACACACACACACACACACACACACACACACACACCACTCACACTCTTCTAGTAGCAGATTAGGAGAGATAAAATACCTGGAAAATGCTTCAGTTGGAGGCTAGTTTGCCCAACCTTTACGGTCTAAGTGATTCTGGCTTATTAACTTCTCCCACTAATTTCACAAGCTCAACGTTGATAATGTTACTTCTCCCATAGAAGTATGACCACATATATCCTAGACAATTGAATATATTGTTGAACTAATATATGTAAAAACACATACAAATTAGGCCCTGAAAAGTCAAAATATATATCATCATTTGATCAATTATGTATAATATAATAATATAATATAATATATATCTAAATATTAAGGGAAATTGCTCAAAAGCATATGAAATAGCAGTTATCTCTTTAGTAGAATTTGGGCTGTGTGTGCATGCATGGCAGACAGATATCTGCCATTAAAACTATATCCTGAGGCCTTCTACCTCGCTGTCCTCAACAGCTCCCCACCCCCCGTGTGTGTGTGTGTGTGTGTGTGTGTGTGTGTGTGTGTGTGTGTGCATATATCGGGGACTAAGGGGGTCCAGCCCCTCGATAGTCCCCTCCCAGGGTCCGGGAAGAATCTACAACCAGCTGATAATTAATCTTTGATGAGGAGAAATGAATCTATGTACACAAAACTCCTTAGTCCATATACTTTATTATTCTGTGTCAGTTACAAGCTTATATTCTGCTCTCATATTTAGGTCTTTTCTTGCCTGATTTCTCTCTACACTTGTCCGCGGTCCCCTCTGGGTTCTATCTTAATTCCTTCATCTTGTTCTGCCCCTTCTAGGTTCTCATCCATCTTGTTCCTTCCCATATCATCTTCTCTCCCATCTCCTTCTCTCTCCTCATCTCGTTCTTCCTCATCTTGTTCTTCCCCATCTGGCTCATCCTCATCTTCCATCTCGTTCCTCTAGTACTCTCTTCTAGCCCTTCAACCTAGTTCTTCCCCATCTCAGTTTGTTCCTCTCAAGTTCTTACCCGTCTAGTTCTTCCATTCTCTTTTCTCTTCTCCCCCTCTGCCCTGGAAGTCCTGGTATATAAAAGGAGGGTCCGAGCTAAATTGTGTAAAGTTATTACTTAACGTCCACCTGACCTAGGCGGTGTCTCCTTGTCGAATTTACCTTAAGTCAGGAGACTTGTATGTGGGCTGTTATCACTGTTAGTCCTCGGAAATTGGGCGACCACCTGGGCGGGGTCTCCTTGTGGAATTTACCTTAAGTCAGGAGACTCGCCTGTGGGTGGTTATCACTGTTAGTCCTCGGAAGTTGGGCAACCACCTGGGTGGTGTCTCCTTTAGTCCTTGAAAGTGGCTAGGGGAGATATCTGATTCCAGAGAAAGCCTTTCCTGAGGCTGTTCTCCAAATGCCTGGAATGTGTATGTCTAGAGAGTGATCAGTCCACATTGTTAGCCGTTCTTAGGGAAAAGTCAATTGGGAAAACTATGAAGGCACACATGATTTTCATAACAGAAGACAGCTGATATATAACAAGCCAAGTAACACCAAAAACTCCTTGGGATTTGGCTTCCTCTGGAGGAATTCCCTGATTCCTCCAGGTAGTGACTTTGCCATAACCAGCTGAGTTCTTATGATATATTCCTGCGGCCCGCAGCATGCATATATGTATACCCATGTGTGCATATGCAGAGGGCGGAAGAGGAAATGAAATGTCTTTTTGTATAAATCTCCACCTTAATTTTGGACAGAATTTCTCACCAAACCTAGAGCTCAGTGAATTAGGAAGACTAGCTACCCAGTAAGGTCTTGGAGTCACATCCCCTTCCCCCATGTGTTATAGGCGTGTGCAGCTGCCCCTGACCTTCTCATGATGGCTAGGACTTAAACTCTCACCACCAAGCCATCTTCCCAGCCACCTCCATTTTAAATGCAAGAAAAAATGGAAACAAGAAGGAAAAGAAAATTACACTTTATAAGCAAAAAATAAGTTGGTAAAGAACTTTTAGTAAATATTGAAAAAATTATAAGAAACTACAGATGTTTTATGACTAAGATTATTTTAGCTACAATAACTAAATATACCTTTTAAAATATTTTCTAAATTAAAGAGTACGTTGCGTTTGATCTACTCAAGACAAAGAACCATTTTTACTGAAAGTATTTAATAGCTCTCTCCCATTCTTTTTGCAGGTTCCCCCTATTAATTTTCACCTCAGAGTGTAAACAGTAGCTGTAAGGCCCTTATGTCTGGAGACATTAAAGCTATGTGCTTATTTTTAAATTTTACTACTAAAACAGAATAGATTCCCCCTTAATTCTCAACAACTGCAAAATCATAATA